ACAACAGGGAAGGATGTGATGTTATGTACCATTCACAACAACAGGGAAGGATGTGATGTTATGTACCATTCACAACAACAGGGAAGGATGTGATGTTATATACCATTCACAACAACAGGGAAGGATATGATATTATACACTGTGTACAACAACAGGGAAGGATATGATATTATACACTGTTTACAACAACAGGGAAGGATATGATATTATACACTGTTTACAACAACAGGGAAGGATATGATGTCATACACTGTTCACAACAACAGGGAAGGATATGATGTTATGTACCATTCACAACAACAGGGAAGGATATGATGTTATATGTTACTTTACATCTTACATGGCAACTTTTAAAAGTGTTTTTTATATGTATGTGTGCTAATGCATTGGGTAATTCATAATTTAAGAATTTTTTTTATATTTTTTACAGGCAAAATATATGCATTTCTAGTCTTTGTTGAATTGACAAGTGTTTAATCCTCATTTTCTCATTTGTGGCATTTCCTTGTGTACAGCTTGTTACTGAACTTAGCTTATTCTGGTGATGAGCAAAAAATATTTTGACAGTATTTTGTTCTTTCTCAGAAACAATCACATTTTCTTCAATCTGTAACAATAATGTAGATTAGTCTGACCACAGTGATCCAGCAGTAAGTCTGAAGGGTTATAATGGTAAAAAACTGGGCTTGAATACCCTTGGTGGGCACAGCATAGATAGTCCATTGTTTAGCATTGTGCATAACAACAAACAAACAAAAATAGATGAGTCCAGAATACATTCATTGAAATAATTAGTTTTTATATATCCGTGGACAGTTCACTGTAATGAAGATTTCCACACTTCTTCCTTCTTTCCAAATGTATAGCTTTCAGTTGTTTAATTAATGAATTGTTAGTTTATATACAGGTTATGTATTTTGTAGATCTGGATCAGTTGAACCACATTCCGTTGTTTAATTAATGAATTGTTAGTTTATATACAGGTTATGTATTTTGTAGATCTGGATCAGTTGAACCACATTCTTGGTATTCTCGGATCTCCAACTCAGGAGGATCTTAACTGCATCATTAATGAAAAGGTAACTAAGATTAGTTCGTGTTTAAACTATTTTCTATTGCAGGGCCAGTTTGGTTCCTTACTTATTTCTACAGCAAAACAAACTTAAACATCATAAAAACATTTAAATAAAAAATCAAATTGATATGACTAGTTTTTGTAGCTGGCAGTATTATCAGATTTACAGTATTATTGTAACTTCATATGACTGACTTTACTTTGATCAATTGCTTTAAGTAGTGTAGTAAAATACACAAAACAAACTTAAATGCCACTAGAATTAATATGATACAGAGTTATCAGATTTACAGTATTATTGTAACTTTATATGACTGACTTTACTTTGATCAGTTGCTTTAAGTAGTGTAGTAAAATACACAAAACAAACTTAAATGACACTAGAATTAATATGATAACATAATTTGGTAGGACTGACTTCAGGCCAATTGAACAATACAGAGTTAGGATTAAGGATATATGTATAACATACAGAGTGAGAGTGATATCACAAAATGGCAAACATTGCACGATTTACCAGCTCGGCAGAAATTTCAAATGTACAAATCGTATTACTAGTTTAACAGTTTCGGTAAAATTTGGAAAGTATAACAAGTCTGTACCATTTACTGTTCAGTTAGCTTCAAGACGATCTAGAGAAAAGAAGATTAAAAGTAGGTTGTTGAAATAGTTTTAATCTACTTTTGTGTATCTTACCATTGCAATGGATGACTTTCTGAATTTAGTTCAAATATTGTTATAATGATTAGTTTGGTTATTTGCCTTCTGAATGCAGTCTCAAAAAGTAAAAGGAAAAAGGGTGGTCTGCTTAACCCTCTTTTTGGTTTTAAATTTGATTTCATAAGTTAGAAATAAAGCCAGCTTCAACCATTAAAATCAAATAATGTAATTTCTGTTTTATCCATGCTAGTGCTTTTCATGAAATCAAAGTAATTACTCAGGCTTGAAAGAAATATTAATTACAGGCTTGAAAGAAATAATAATTACTTTATATCTAAGTGTAAGAATTTTAAATACGTTATTATTAATTTGTGATCAAAGCAAGTTACCTACTTTTATTCAGGAAAATGACGAATAAATATTATAGAACCAAACGTAATTAGTATACACAGCTAACTTGGTTAATTACAGGCCTCGGTTTGTGTATGAGCAAACTCGTTTTTTACAGAGGCTTTGCTAAGATCGTAAGATAACTTGATGGATGACTATGTCACACACATGTTCAAGTACACTTGATTTAGACATGGATCACAAACTCGTATGTTCTTTCACACAAGTTAACAATTTTATTTCAGTGGACCCAATATAGGCTTATTGACAGCAGGAACAAATAAATTTATTAGCTACACTAGATGGCTTTAATGGAGGAATATGGCTGTTAAACCTTAAAAAAATTTGTAGGGAATAAGTAGGTTTAAAATGCATGTATGCTTTATTTGAAAATATATCTTAAAAAGTACATTTCATAAATTATTTTTTATAATCAAACAATATCTCCTCATATATGGCAAGGTTATAACAGTAGAATATCTAATAACTTCATATTTGGCAAAGTTATAACAGTAGAATATCTAATAACTTCATATTTGGCAAGGTTATAACAGTAGAATATCTAATAACTTCATATTTGGCAAGGTTATAACAGTAGAATATCTAATAACTTCATATATAACAGTAGAATATCTAATAACTTTATATTTGGCAGGGTTATAACAGTAGAATATCTAATAACTTCATATTTGGCAAGGTTATTACTAGAATATTTAAGAACTTCATGTGTATGGATGGTGTACTAAATCACTGTTTGATCAAATAATTATCAACCATTCTGTCAATAAAATATGAGGAAAATCATTTTTGCATAAGAGAATTCTTCAATGTTATTAAGTTGTTTATGTGAAACTTCATAAGTACTAAATATTTTGTATATGAAATCTAATCTTAACCAAGTTTCTTTTAAAAACATTTGGTACAAAGCTTGTGAAGTTAACAGTTGTTGATCATATTTATCAAATACAGAGTCATATGTATCGTTGAAAACTGTATTTTCAGCATCTTAATTTAACTGTTTCTTTCTTTTGGATTTTCATTTAATTTTTTTCATAATTTTGAACAAAGTATCTGATTGTTATAAGTATTGATAAAAAAAAAAATGCTTTTCAGCCTAGCATTTTTCTTCTCTTGAGATGAATGAGGGCTATTTTGTGTTTTCATAAGAAATTTTATTTTGATCTAATACTAATGTGTTACAGGCCAGAAGCTATCTCCTGTCGTTACCAGGTAAACCAAAGGTTCCTTGGAATCGACTCTACCCCGATGCTAATCAGCAAGGTTAGTTCCATGCTAGTTGTCTTGGTACATGGTAAAGGATTTCAGACTACTTGTAAAATGTTGTATCTAAAAGAAAAAAAATCATCATTTTTTATTGAATCAAAAGCAATCATTGATTTATTAGAAAGGTTACAAAAAATTATTATTCTTAGGTTGGTTTAAAAGTTTGCAACTAAGCAGCTTATTAACCAAAAAAAGGCACAACTTTAATCTTTTGTGTTTTAAACTCAATTTTGTCTGATGTGGCACTAAAGGGTTTTTAAAAGTAATGTTGTTGTATGATATAGTATTTTTTATACATGTGAAAAAAATAGAATAAACATTTCATAGTTTGGAAATAATTGTATCATAACACAAAAAAAAGATTTATCAATTTGAATCGAACTATTACTCAGACACAATTATCTGTTTAATATAACTTTTTTTGCATCTCAGTTATAGGTTTAAACACCTCAAGAAGGGATGTTCTAGCTTGTCATCTGTATAAAAATTAAGTATGCTATGTTGTTATGATGAATACCTATTTATTATTCATCTTCTTCGGAGTTGAAGTTACTATAGCCGTTACAAGAACTGCACAAATGAAGAAATAAAATTTCTATTTATGACATATGGTCAAAGAGTTAATGCTCAATTGATTCCATTTGAAATCACAGAAGACAAAATTAGGTATGCCAGGGTGTAATAATTACTATAGGCTTTAAGGGTCTTATCGCATAGCGAGGAAAATTATGATAGTTATATGACATTGTTTGTTTTTTGCATATTATTATGCTGCGTTCTTAAGTGCAATATTAAATGAAAAATTATTTAGTATAGTAGTATCATTAGTATAAAAAAGTAGGCTTAAGTTTCATTAACAGTTAACAGCAAAAAATATGAAGGCCCAGGTAAGTGCTAAATTGTTTTTCATGTGTATTCTTTATTTATTATTATAAGTGTAGCTAAAATGTAAAAATTAGAAACTTATTGCGTTAGAGTAGGTAAGATAAAAAAAATAATAATAATTCCTTTTGAGGTATGTTTGCAACCATCTCTTGCATTATGTAATTCATGTGAGCTACACGTTCACTGATTGATTTACCTTGTGTGGCAGGATTATTAGTTAGACATGGTTTAAAGAGCAATAAAGCAATAAAATTAAGCATAAATGGATATATATATATATACTGGTACAAGTTTTAAACAATTGTGGTTTCCTGTTACAATTGGCAGTTATTTCACAAAGAAAAATGAGTAATTTAGATTCATTTCCTAATTTTTGATGGTGGTTACGAGGTCAATAAAACTGACTGACCCCATATAGTATAAAAATAACAGATAAAATGTAAAGCTAAAAAAACGTCTATGCAAATTAGATTTTTAATCTTAACATGAAAATCACCTTGCACTCAGAGCAGTCGAGACTCTGACTCTACATAATTATAGGCGAAGTTTTCATAAAAATACTTAATTAAAAATTCTGATTTTTTGACTACAAAAAACTTTTAATGTTTACTGAAAACTTGCAAAATTTCATGAAAATACATTAAGTACTTTTAGAATTATACTATGTATACCACCATGGTTACATGGTGGTTACAAGGTCATGTAAAATATATAAGCCCATTGTGAAAGTGTTAGTAAATTAATATTTCTTATCAATAATTTCTAAAGATTTGTGGTAAACTTTATATATTAGTGACGATTTGGATACCACTCAAAAGGATGTTGGAATTAATAAAAAGCACATATCCGATTAAAAAAAACTTGTGAAACTACGTCTGACGAAAGGCTCGTTAGATTAGCTCAAAGCACAACTGGAAAGTTTAATAAGCTAAGCGTGTTTTTCATTAGTGTCTGTAACCTTTTGAATTCCTTACCACACTTGGAGTAATGTCTGCACTTGGATATTACAATCCATATGATTTTGAAATTTAAAAATGTGTCCTGAGTTGCTAACTTTTATATTGCTAGTTGTACATTTTTTCCGATTAAAAGGATGTTGGGAATTGAAACCATAAAAATATATTTTTATCTTCATTATTTTGTTTTAATCGAAACAAATACTAGCACATATATTTTAAGCTGATTTTCGTTTGATATAGCTGTGGACCTATTAGACAAGATGTTGACATTTAATCCTCACAAAAGAATAACAGTAGAAGAGGCCTTGGCTCACTCGTATTTCCAGGAATATTATGACCCAGCTGATGAGGTACTTAATTTTTCAGGAAAGACTTGTAAACATTATTAGAGTGTATACCTCAGAATGTTATAATAGAAGTAATATTGAGATCTGTCTTTTTCGCCAGTTGCATTAGTTTTTCTTTGAGTGGTAAGCAGTCGTGACTATTAACGGAAAGTACTTATGGGGTAAAAAGGGATTTATAAAAAGAGAAAGGATAGATAAACATCTAAGTAGAACACTGGTAATTTTATTTTCCTTTCCTCTGATACACTACAGCTATACAGAAGATTGTAGTCAAGATAGGCTAATCCTTTCTTCGTTTCCAAGACTTTGAGAGCTATATTTGATTTATAGCTTAGAGAAACGTTCCTTTTCAATACTACGGACTGGCTCTCTGCCTCCCTAAACTGCACAGACTACTAAAATGCGAGTACGTCAAAAAACACTGCTAAATTTATTTATGAATATTCTGTCAGTTTTTCTTTCTTTGTTTTTGTAAAATCCTGCTGACTGACAAGTAGAGGAGAAACACTGACTTAGAGGTTATTTAGATGTATTCCAGTTATTCCAAGTGATGTTGGGTAACCTACTCACTACAAGTCTTTACACTTGCCAGTTGCTCTCTGTAAACATGATACAAATCCTTAAGGTGTCTGAAGCACTATCTAAAAATTGTTTAAATAAGATTTGAATATATCAGGACAGTCAGTATATGCTTTTAGTATTTGTTTATTTAATGTCTAAGTTTTTTGGCTTCCAGTTTTGGTATTCTACATAGCAGGAAAGCAGTGCATCTGACGATATGTATAACACCCTTAGGGGTGTATCGGCCTATACACCATTCCAGATTTCCCTTGGCTAACACCCGGGACCACACCCTATCAGGTGTTCGCATTTATAGTTTTGCCCCCCCCCCCTAAAGCTAACAATTTAAACAAAATATATAAGTTACTTATAAAAATGTGTGGAACTAAATAATATATATATATAGTGTGTGCCCTACTTTGACGTAACTCTCGACAGTAGAAAATTTAACTGCAATTTATTACCTTATGACGTTTAATACACTTCTTTTAGTGGTCTTTTTAGTTGTATTAGTAGCACCTTAAAACTAATTTAAAAGTGCTAATGTATTTTTAGAATAACTTTCCTAGAAAAAATGATTAATTTTGATTGTTATTTGTCTCTATCAGCCTGTGGCAGAAGAACCATTCCGTCTTGATATGGAGCTCGATGACCTTCCCAGAGAGAAATTGAAAGAATTAGTATTTGAAGAAACTGTACTGTATAAGGGAAAACTGCAGCAACAGCAGTCTTAAATTTTTCTGAAGTCTCGTAATTTAGTGCATTTATTCTTGGTAGGTATAAATTATACTGTATATTTGGTGGAAAGTATGCGTCTGTGTGTGTATTTACAGTTTTGTTTTTCTCCTCTGTAGTTTGGGGACATCGTTTTTGGAGTAGAGCTTGTTGGCTGGCCAACTGGGAAGAAAAGACGGTATTTTTCAAGACTTGGTTTTATTCATCTGTGCCAACTCTTAGAATTTTTATTATTTTTTGTCTGTTATAATAAAGCTCGTTTAAAAATGACTGAAGTTGGAAAATGCAGATTAATTGTGTTTAATTTAGTTGTTAGATGTTACTTTGGCACAAGTTGTTTTCAAGCTAGTCTGCTGAGTTGTTTCTTCAAATCAATGTTGATTATAAAAAAAAATTATGTTGAAATGTATCCAATGAAATGTTTCGACATACTTTGAAAGAGGAAAATAGTTAAATTGTGAGAAAGCTATAAATCGAGACAAAATCAACCTGTAATGATCAGAAGTACAACAGCTCAGATGTATAATTTAATGTTTTTTAAGTTAAAAAATTTCACTTTTTTTACAAGATTTTTATTTACTTTATGGTGTAAAAAATGAAAACATGATTTTGTCATCTGTTTTTGCATGTTTTAATATTTCGAAGAGAGGAAAGAGGTACCTTATAATAATCTTGTTTATTGGGTAATGTTTGTGTTTACATGATGAGCTATTAATAGTGTAAAAATATTGACTGTATAATTATGCTTTATGTAATTGTGTCATCAATTTTATGCAAATTGTTTTTGTGAAACACTTATGCCTCCACTTTGACCTTGACCTTTAAAAGTTAATCAGGTCTGAAACTTTGTATGTATTGCCTCTTTTATAAGTTTGATCCAAATCCATCCAATCTTGATATATCCTCTTCACAAGATTGGGATGGACAAGGCCCAAACCAATATGCTCTGCTCAGCTTCAAAGTGGGGGCATAAAAATGGTTCGTGACGAAACAGTTTGAAATATTCCACTTATTTCTAAAAAAAAAAAGAAGAAGAAGATGCAGTTGAGCTGAAACTCATTAATTATTTTAATGTTGAAACATTTAATAGTGTTATAATAATAGTTTAACTTATACTCACAGGTACAGGTAAATTATACACTTTATTATTTAGTCCCATGTTCTAGATCAAAGAATAGGCTTATATCAGCTTCGTAACTGTTTCATTTTCTTGGTATTTATAAAATAATCTAACAGTACGCTACTGTGCACATTGTAGTTTGTTGCTCCAACCAGAAGTAAGGTAAACATTCTAATACTAATTAATGTTCTTTGTTCCAAAACTAAGAGAACAGAAGCAGTAAAAACTACCAATGGATATAAAATTTTATCTTTTAGATCTGGAATCTTATTAGTTTACTAATTCATTTAGTTACTGATAAAGATCTAGAAATTTAAAATTATTTGCTAATGGGACATATTGTGAGAACAAATTGGCAGATTTAAATATATTAAATGAAATGAACGTAATACTGTAAATCGGAGAAATTAGTCTTAAATATGCTTTGTTCTCCAAGTGAAGTGAAAAGTGTTTAGTTTTTTTGTACAAGAACGTAAAGAGGTGATTGGTTATACTATTAGAGCTTACATAATACACTTAACAAAATATAAATATTTTCCTAGCAAGATTGAAATAATTAATAATTTTCATTTTCTGTTGAGGCTTAGGAATTATGTTCCAGAAGATTCTTTTAATAAATTATTGTGATTAAAAGAGAAATAGATTTCATGTTAAGCCTGAAATTGTTAAGCCTTACCTTGTGTTATCTGTGAAAGTATATTTCTTTCTTAGTTCTTTAGAGGAAGAGTTCTAATTGTGTGTGGTGTATACGGTAAAAACCTTGGCTGTAAAAACACGTTGACAATACAAACAAGAAAAGTACAACTGAAAGGTGATTCAGCCAGCAAGTATTTTTAGCCATTCCAGTCACACTTAGGTTAGCTTAATTTGCTCAGAAGTACGTTTTAATGTTTTATAATTTTACTTACATTATAGTATTCAGAACTTCAACGAGAGAAAAGTAAGGCATTTATAAACTTACAGATTGTGGAGGAAACAAATGTGAACTAGTAAAGGTTCAAATGAGGATGTAAAGACACAAGCCTCGTTTCTCCAGTAGTTTAAACTGTGAATGTAACTTTCACCAAGATGTAGATATGAGAGTCCAGAAAATTATGCTTGTATAAAGTGGAAAGTTTTATTCAGAAACAGCGAGATGTCTAAATTCATTTATATTTATCTGATCTTTTTTTTTTTGTCGGCATTATTCAGTGCAACGAAAAATTCATACAGAGGGCGTTCCACTGGGCACTATCTTGAACACTGTTTACTTCCCTGTGGAGTTTACAGAATTTAGAAACGAAACGATGTTTAAAGCATGCATGAATAGTTTGTGGTAGATCCCTGTGTTAACTAAAGGCGCGACACTTAAGTGTGGTTGGCACGTGGATTTCGGTGTGAACAATAAGAAATGTTAATGTTATTTAACAGTTTTATGTATATTGTGAAGGTTAAGAAGATTTCTTGAATATAGATGAGTTCCCTGCTAAACACATAAATACGTTTGTTCATATCCTTTCGTATATCAGGGAAGGTAGGGTGTAATTAATTCGACTAAAAGGATCAAGACGGATTGTTGGTAGTCACTCATCATATACGTAAGTCGACGCTTTAGAATGGTCACAAAATAACAGTAAACCTGTTGCTTAGTTGAATTAATATTTATTTGTTTCAGCCATCTTGTATATGATAGTGACCAGACTTCATTTTTATTTAATGAAAAGGAACGGGGTGCAGTGGTCTTTGTGCAAGTGTGTGAAGGGTGAGGTCACGCACGTGGTGTTTGTTTGTTCAAGTGTAAACGTATATGTTTGTGAAGGGTGAGGTCACGCACGTGGTGTTTGTTTGTTCAAGTGTGTACCTATGGTTGTGGGGGAGAAGTCACGCACGTGGTGTTTATCCAAGTGTAAACATGTGTTTGTGAAGGGAGATGTCACGCACGTGGTGTTTGTTTGTTCAAGTGTGTACATATGGTTGTGAGGGAGAAGTCACGCACGTGGTGTTTATCCAAGTGTAAACGTATGTTTGTGAAGGGAGATGTCACGCACGTGGTGTTTGTTTGTTCAAGTGTGTACATATGGTTGTGAGGGAGAAGCCACGCACGTGGTGTTTATCCAAGTGTAAACGTATGTTTGTGAAGGGAGATGTCACGCACGTGGTGTTTGTCCAAGTGTAAACGTATGCTTGTGGGGGAGAAGTCACGCACGTGGTGTTTATCCAAGTGTAAACATGTGTTTGTGAAGGGAGATGTCACGCACGTGGTGTTTGT